AATGGGGAAAATTGGGAAAAAATGGGGGGAAATGGGAAAAAATGGGGGGAAATTGGGAAAAAATGGGGGGAAATTGATAAAAATGGGGTTGGGGATGTTGGGGACATTGGGGACGTTGAGGGGATTTGGGGACATTGGGGACATTGGAGACATTGGGGACGTTGAGTGAAAATGGGGAAAAATGGGGGGAAATTGGGAAAAAATGGGGTTGGGGATGTTGGGGACATTGGGGACGTTGGGGACATTGGGGATGTTGGGCGAAAATTGGGAAGAATGGGAAAAAATGGGGGAAAATTGGGAAAAAATGGGGAATAAAGGGGAAAAATGGGGGGAAATGGGGAAAATGGGGTTGGGGATGTTGGGGACATTGAGGACATTGAGGACATTGGGGACATTGGGGACGTTGGGGACATTGGGGACGTTGAGCGAAAATGGGGGAGAATGGGGAAAATTGGGAAAAAATGGGGGGAAATGGGAAAAAAATGGGGGGAAATGGGAAAAATGGGATTGGGGACATTGGGGACATTGACGGGGTTTGGGGACATTGGGGACATTGGGGATGTTGGGGATGTTGAGCAAAAATGGGGAAGAATGGGAAAAATAGGGAAAATGGGAAAAAATGGGGGGAAAATGGTAAAAAATGGGATTGGGGACGTTGGGGACATTGACAGGATTTGGGGACATTGGGGACATTGGGGACATTGGGGACGTTGAGCAAAAAGGGGGAACAATGGGAAAAAATGGGGGGAAAATTGGGAAAAATGGGGTTGGGGATGTTTGGGACATTGGGGACATTGAGGGGATTTGGGGACATTGGGGACATTGGAGACATTGGGGACGTTGAGTGAAAATGGGGAAAAATGGGGGGAAATGGGGGGAAATTGGGAAAAAATGGGGAAATTGGGAAAAATGGGGGAAAATTGGGAAAAGATGGGATTGGGGATGTTGGGGACATTGGGGACATTGGGGACATTGGGGACGTTGGGGACGTTGGGGACGTTGAGCGAAAATGGGTAAGAATGGGGGAAAATGGAGGGAAATTGGGAAAAAATGGGGGGAAATTGGGAAAAAATGGGATTGGGGATGTTGGGGACATTGACAGGATTTGGGGACATTGGGGACATTGGGGACATTGGGGACGTTGAGCAAAAATGGGGAACAATGGGAAAAAATGGGGGGAAATTGGATAAAAATGGGATTGGGGACATTGGGGACATTGGGAAAAAATGGGGGAATATTGGGAAAAATGGGATTGGGGACACTGGGGACTTTGAGGGGATTTGGGGACATTGGGGACACTGGTCTCCGGTGCCATTGGGGGTGTTGGGGACATTGGGGACATTGTGGGGGTCACGCGGTGTCACCGTGGGGTGTCCCCCTGTCCTCTCTTCCCTGTCCCTTGTCCCTGTCCCTGTGACCCATTCCCTGTCCCTGTCCCCTGTCCCAAGGTCTGTCCCCTGTCCCAAGGGCTGTCCCCTGTCCCCAGGAGGTGTCCCCAGGGTGTCCCCGTCACCTGCGGACGCAGTGGGCGGCGGTCAGCACCCACTGGGGCCGCAGCAGGACGCCGCCGCAGCGCAGGGGCCCGTAGAGCAGCGCCTGCCAGGGCTGGCTCTGGGGCAGGCAGGGGTAGCCCCCGATGACGCGGATGTCCTCGGCCTCCTGCGGCACGCAGCCCGGCGGGCACGCGGCCTCCTGGCACAGCGTGCCACCTGCGGGGACACCGGGACGCGTGGGGACACGTGGGGACGCGTGGGGACGCGTGTGGACATGTGGAGACACGTGGGGACACGTGGAGAAACGTGGGGACATGGGGACAAATGAGGACATGGGGACATGGGGACATAGGGACATGGGGACATGGGGACATGGGGAGACACGGGGACGCGTGGGGACATGGGGACACTTGGGGACACGGGGATACGTGGGGACACGTGGGGATATGGGGACAAATGGGGACATGGGGACACTCGGTGTCCTGGCACACGGTGCCACCTGCGGGGACATGGAGACACGTGGGGACACGGGGACATGGGGACACATGGGAACTTGGGGACACTTGGGGACATGGGGACACGTGGGGACACGTGGGGACATGGGGACATGGGGACACGTGGGGACATGGGGACATGGGGACATGTGGGGACACGTGGGGACACGTGGGGACACGGGGACATAGGGACACGTGGCGACACGGGGACGCCAGGCCGCACGCAGCCCGGCGGGCACGCGGCCTCCTGGCACAGCGTGCCACCTGCGGGGACACCGGGACGCGTGGGGACATGTGGGGACATGGGGACATGGGGAGACACGTGGAGAAATGTGGGGACATGGGGACAAATGGGGACATGGGGACATGGGGACATGGGGACAAATGGGGACAAATGGGGACATGGGGACATGGGGACAAATGGGGACATGGGGACATGGGGACACGTGGGGACACGGGGACACGTGGGGACACGGGGACACCAGGCCACACGCAGCCCGGCGGGCACGCGGCCTCCTGGCACAGCGTGCCACCTGCGGGGACACCGGGACGCGTGGGGACACGTGGGGCCACGTGGGGACATGTGGGGACACGTGGGGACATGGGGACACGTGGGGACACGGGGACACGTGGGGACATGGGGACAAGTGGGAACTTGGGGACATGGGGACATGGGGACATGGGGACATGGGGACACTCGGTGTCCTGGCACACGGTGCCACCTGCGGGGACACCGGGACATGGGGACATGGGGACACGTGGGGACACGGGGACACGTGGGGACAGGGGGACATTGGGATAAGTGGGAAATTGGGGACACGTGGGGACACATGGGGACATGGTGACACTCGGTGTCCTGGCACACGGTGCCACCTGTGGGGACATGGGGACACTTGGGGACATGGGGATACACGGGGACATGGGGACACGTGGGGACATGGGGACACGTGGGGACATGTGGGGACATGGTGACACTCGGTGTCCTGGCACACGGTGCCACCTGCGGGGACATGGGGACACCACCAGGGCTGTGGGGACAGCAGGGTGACACCTCCAAGGGGAGTGTCACCTGGGCCACCAGGGGTGGGGACAATGTCACCTGGGCCACCAGGTGTGGGGACAATGTCACCTGGGCCACCAGGGGTGGGGACAATGCCACCTGGGCCACCAGGTGTGGGGACAATGTCACCTGGGCCACCAGGGGTGGGGACAATGCCACCTGGGCCACCAGGTGTGGGGACAATGCCACCCGGAATGTCACCTGGGCCACCAGGTGTGGGGACAATGTCACCTGGAATGTCACCTGGGCCACCAGGTGTGGGGACAGTGCCACCCGGAATGTCACCTGGGCCACCAGGTGTGGGGACAATGCCACCTGGAATGTCACCCGGGCCACCAGGTGTGGCACCTCGTGGGGACGCTGGCATCAGGTGTGGCACCTCCACGGGGACAATGCCACCCGGATTGTCACCTGGGCCACCAGGNACCAGGTGTGGCACCTCGTGGGGACGCTGGCATCAGGTGTGGCACCTCCACGGGGACAATGCCACCCGGATTGTCACCTGGGCCACCAGGTGTGGCACCTCGTGGGGACGCTGGCATCGGGTGTGGCACCTCCGTGAGGACGCCAGCAGTGTCCCCTGGGTCACCAGGTGTGGGGACAATGCCACCAGGGGTGTCCCAGGGGTGTCCCAAGTGTCCCCAGGTGTCCCCAGGTGTCCCAGGTGTCCCCAAGGGTGTCTCAGGTGTCCCAGGTGTCCCCAGGGGTGTCTCAGGTGTCCCCAGGTGTGCCCCAGGTGTCCCCAG